CCGTGCCGTGCCGTGCCGTGTAATGCAATGCAATGCAATGCAAAGCAATGCAAAGCAATGCGGGGCATGCACTGGAGTGCCGCGCAGTGGGGGGTGTGCAATGCACTGTGCCGTGCAACGCAATCCGGGGTGTGTACTACGGGCGGGAATATGCAGTGCACTGTGCTATGCAATGCAATGGGAGGGCATGCGCTGCAGCGAGGAGTGTGCAATGCGCTGCAGGGATGCAGGGATGTGTTTGCTGCCTGGGGGTTGCAGTGTGGTGAGGTGCAACACAATGCAGCAATGGGGACATGTGCAGTTGGGGGGTGCAGTGCAGTGTAGTAAAGGGTGGTGCTGTGGTAGAGGCTGCTGCAAGGGGCTGTGCAGTTAGTGCAGCGTGGTGCTAGAAGAGGTATGCAGTGCTGGGGGGGCCTACAGTGCAGTGCTACAGGGATTGTGTGCAGGTGGTAGGACGTGCAGTGCAATGCAGTGCTGGGGGCGCGCTGGAGAGGCGTGCAGTGCAGTGCTGCTGGGGGCAGTGTGATGCCGGGCAACCATGCAGTGCAGGGATGCTGATGCAGTGCCACAGAGGGCTGCAGGAAGAGGGATGCAGCACCAGCGCTCACAGGGGATGCCTGGGGACACATTGCGAAAGGCGGCAGCAAATCCTCGGTGGCTCCGTTAAACATCAACCCGCCCATGGCACCTGCCCCGTTTAAGGCTCCTGCAGCTGCAGTGACGGTACACGGCAGCGGGGCCGCAGGGCTGGGAATGCTCTGAGAGCCTCCAACACTGCGGCGGGGGCTCCCTCCCATACCGGTACTGACGCCACTGCTGCAGCCTCCCCTGTGCAGACCCAGGAGAAAATGACACCCGCCTTTGACATCGATGCCCCACGCTGGGACCAGGGCACGTTCTTGGGGCGCCTGCGGCACTTCCTGGCCATCACCGACCCACGGCTGGTGCTGGTGCCCAATGCCGAACTGGAGCGGGCCAAGGCACTCGTGCAGGGCTGCAGGTGAGGGGGCAGCGTGGCGGGAGCCCCCCTGGCCCGGCCGGGCTCACCAAGGTGCCCCGGCTGCCCCGGCCACATCCTCTGTGTTCACAGGGCTGGGCTGGTACCACCGGGGAGCAGCCAGGAGCAGCTGCACTATGCCAAGACGCTCTATGACTCGGCCTTCCACCCTGACAGCGGCGAAAGGATGAACGTGCTGGGCCGCATGTCCTTCCAGGTGCCCGGCGGCATGGCCCTCACTGGCTGCATGCTCCAGTTCTACCGGTGAGGCCGCCGCGTGGGTGTCCCTGGCCCCTGGTCCCAGTGGCTCCCGCTTCGCCCTTATCTCTCTGCCCAGCTTCACCCCTGCCCAAGGTCGTGTAACGATTAACCCAGCTGAACCCTGCACTGGCCCTGCTGCTCCCTCGAGGCTCGGGGCAAATGTGTCCCCGTGAACATCCCGTGTCTCCCCACTTTGCCCTCTTGCAGGGGCCATCCTAGGGTGTTCCCAAGGGATTCCCTCCTCATCTCAGCCCTGTGTGCTGGGCTGCTTTGCAGCAAGGTCTAGCCAGGTCTCCCGGCACTGATGGCTCACCCTGTTCCCAGTCCATCTTCCCCATCCCTGCATTCAGAGGATCCTTGGCACCCATAGGGTCCCTTGCCTTCCCCCCCATGCCCCACAGCAGCCAGGACCCCTGGGCTCCTATCCTGGCTCTGCCACCATATCGCCACCCACCCTTGCGCAGATTGCTGGCTCCGGCAGCATCTCAGTTTCCCTTGGAAAACACGAGGGTAAAGGCGATTTTTTGGCCATCCCCTCCGGTGCTTTGGCTCTGGGTTTGGGCCACAGGCCCCTGACTCCCCTCAGAGGCCCTGCCAGCCCCTTCCCTCTGCAGGACAGTGCCTGCCGTGGTATTCTGGCAGTGGGTGAACCAGTCCTTCAACGCCATCGTCAACTACACCAACCGCAACGCCGCCTCCCCCATCTCGCTGAAGTGAGTATGGCACCAGCTCCTGGTGTCACCTGGGGCCAGAACTGTGTCCTTGGCCAGGTCCCTGCATGGCCAGGGCACTCCTGGGGTGCTGGGATGCTGCGCGGCCAAGCCACGGGCGGGCATTTAACTCCTTCCCTCCCTTGTGAACTGCTGCCTAGGCAAATCGCTGTGGCTTATGTCACTGCCACCGGCACGGCGCTGGCCACTGCCGTGGGGCTCAACCTCTACACGAAGGTACGCTGGGATGGGGAGGCGCTTGTCCACCAGCCCCGTGAGGCTCCCGGCACCGGGCTGAGCTGGAGATGTCGCTGGGGGAGGCACCGTCCCCATGTCAGGGTCTCTTTGCAGCGAGCCCCTCCCCTGGTTGCCCGCTGGGTCCCCTTCGTGGCTGTGGCTGCTGCCAACTGCGTCAACATCCCGATCATGAGGCAGCAGTAAGTGTCCGTGCCCGACTGGGCGTCCCGCAAGGGACGTTAGTGATTCTGGGGTAAGAATAGCCATTCTTGGGGTTGGTCTGGAGGATTCTGAAGATCCTGGCAGCTTTGCTGGGCCACAGGAGAGGCCCAGCCTGATGTCCTGGCGCTGGAGGGGTACTGAAGGCACCTACAGGGTTTTGGGGACATTCCCGGCACCTCTGAGTGTCTGGCTGCCATTCCAGTGACATGGAGAGCAACTGGGAGCCCTGCTCATATGTGGGGGGAAGCTCCCAATTGCTGGAGCACCAACAAACCTTCTTCCCTCCCCGTCCTGCAGCCCTAGTGTTTGGGGACTGGCTCCGGTGGGTGTCTGCCCTGTGGGGACGGATGGACAGGCTCTGTTTGCAGCCATGCCCTGAAGATGGCAGCATTGCCTGGGCAAGGGACCACGGCATCCCAAGGCGATAGAGCCGGATCCCCTCCGTCCTGGCCACCTCTCCCTGTGGTGGCCCAAGGCAGCGTGGCAGCTGGGTCCTCTGAGGGTGCTGGGCAATATGGAGCGGAGGAGAAAGGGGCCGCAGGCTCACAGCGCTCTGTCTCCATCCAGGGAGATCATCCATGGGATCACGGTGACAGATGGGGACGGCAACGAGCTCGGCCGCTCCAGGGTGAGTCCCCGCGGGATCGGGAGCTCTGGCGCGTCGCCAGGGTGGACACGGCACAAGCTCACAGCTGCTCTTGCTTTCAGAGGGCTGCGGCCAAGGGCATCACGCAGGTCGTGATGTCCAGGATCACCATGGCGGCACCGGGCATGAGTGAGTGCAGCCGGCCCCGGGCACGTGTGTCCTATCCTGGGAAGGGCTGGCCGGGGTGAGGTGGGACCTTCCACCTTGCCCTCACCTGCCTTGGTCCCCCCTCTGCACAGAAGAGGGGAGGTGACCACTGCATCCCTGGGGTCATTTGGTCTCATCCCACTAATGGAGTTGGCCAACACGCTCTCACCATCTTGCTGTTTCTGTCAGGGCCCCTGGCCCCAATGTGCATCTCCTGTGGAAGGTGGAGCATCCCCATAGCACTCAGGCCCCACGAGGCCACGTCTTGCTCTCTCTGGCCCCCTCATCCAGCATCCCTCAGCCCTTCCCAAGGCCCTTGGTGTGCCGCTGGGGAGCAAGCCGTGAGGGACAGGAGCATGGCCCAGTGACAGATGGCTGGGGAGGCCCGTACGGATCACCGGTAGCCCCTAGGAAGACCAGCTCCTGGGCATCACGGGCAGGGGCAGCAAGTCCTGCTGGGGTAGCTGTGCAGGCTGGTGCACAGGCCCTGACCCCTTCCCTCTGTGCCTAGTTATTCTGCCAATCATCATGGAGCGGCTGGAGAAGTTCCCCTTCATGAAGGTGAGTTTTTTCCTCCTGCCCCTTGGCGGCCAAGATGCCGAGGGTGAAACAGGAGGGTTTGCTGAGGCCAGGGCCTTCCCAGCTCTGTTTGCCTCCCCTCTGATTCATGTTGCCCTGAGGACTTGGCAGCGATGGACAAGGGGAGCCTGCGGCACTGGGTGTCTAGCTCAGCACTCACTCCCTGCCGTTCCCTTGCAGAGAATCCGGGTACTCCACGCGCCTTTGCAAATGCTGCTGAGCGGGGGCATGTGAGTATTTCACTGCTTGAAACCCTGCTGGTCCCCAGAGCAAGGCTCTGGCTCCAATGAAAAGAAACATCTTTCCAGGCAGGGGATTTGAAAGCTGCTTCCCTTCCCTCCCTGGGCTTTCTCCAGTCCTCAGGAGTGAGGGTGGGAGAGCATCTCTGGGGCCGAGACACGTGGCGGGCACTAACCCTGGGCTCTTCTCCCTCCTGCAGCCTCGTGTTCATGGTGCCGGCGGCCTGCGCCCTGTTCCCACAGCGATGGTACCTGTCCCCCCTGCTTTGTGCTCTGTGCAAAGTCGGGAGCCGCCTCCTCCCCTAGCCCTGGGAGAGGGAGAGTGGCCCGGCCAGCATGGAGGCCTGTGGTCAGGGAGGAGGATGTGGCGCGGGGGGTCTCAGTGTGTGTCCCTCTGCCCACAGTTCCCTGGCGCTGGCTGACCTGGAGCCGGAGCTGCGTGCCAGCATCGTGGCCGAGCGCGGGGACCAAGTGCCCTACGTCTACTTTAACAAGGGGCTGTGAATGGAGGCTGCCCTGGAGCCATCGTGCCCCTCCGGCCACTGCCAATCCAGCATGTCCCGGTCCCAGCGGGTCCCCCCCACTGCCAGGCTGGGGGGATCAGGTTGGGGCTGGCCTTGGGATCAGCTGTCCCTGCTCCCTCTTCTGGAGAGGCCCTGTCTGCCTCTGGCTCCGATCACCCCTCTCTCATTGCAGGATCTCTCCATTCTTCAGGGATGTGCAGGAGAGTCTCCAGCCACCGTGACCCCTGCAGGAGGCAGGACCCTGCCCAGGTCCTGGCTGACGTGTTGGCTCCTCCTAAGCATCCCTGCTGCAGGGCTGGCTGTGTCCTTGCATCCCTGTGTCCTGTTCTCCCCTGCCTCCTTCCTGGCCCTGCTGCCTCTCAAGCCCTCCCCGGCTGCAAGCACCAGGCCCTCCACCTCCCTGCTCGGAGCGCAGTCCTACTTCCCAGAGCAGGCATTCCTCCATCGCCTACGTCCACGACCAGGAACCAAACCACGACAGTGCCTCAAATCACCTCAGTGGCCTTTCTTCAAAAACTGCCTCTCTTCCTGGCAGGGGCAAAGGGACTGGTCCCTTCTGCAGGGTGGGCACGCTGATGTCCCGGGACCAATGCTTGGACCATTCCTCCTGTGCCATCATGTTCATATTTCATTCTCTATGCAATCACCACAATCCAGGAGATAAATACTTGATTGTTTTTAAGCCCTATTTTGTGTAAACTACCCCTTCTTCTGAGTGGCAGAGCCAGCCATCATGCCTTCTGTCCTGTGTCTCAGTGTCCCCAGGGTGGAACCAAGGACCTACAGCCATGGGGAAAGTGGGGTGTTAACTCAGGCTCTGAAGGGGCCACTCTGCAAGCCCTAGAGGGAAGGGATGAAAAATAAAATGCAGTGTTTTTAAAAATAAATTACTGGCTCTGTCTTTTTGTGCTCTTGGGGCTTCAGACCTTAGTGTGGCCGGCAGATGGGAGTCCTGCCTCCCTGGGAAGGGGACACTGTGCTTGACCAGACACAGCGGAGAGGCAGCCTGGGGACCGGGAAGAGCCCTGCAGCTCTGCAAGGGCATCAGCCAAAAACCCTTGGGCATCCTTGAGAGGCTCACTGTGCTGCAAATGGTCCTCCCGAGGGGACACAGGGACGTGACAGGGCTGTGCTTGATGTCCCACACTTGTCCCTCCTGCTGGGAGGGACTGTGTCCGATCACAGGGAGCAGCAGCATCCCAGTGTGAGCCGGATGCCCTAGCAGAGGTGCAGTATCTGCAGCCAAAGGGTTAGCTGTTAACTGCTCCACATGCACAAAGCTGCAGCCAAACCCAAAATGTGCCCGTTGAAGGGCCAAGCTGCAGGTTTGACTCTGCCTGAGCGGCACCAGGCAGAGGACGATGTCCCAGAGTACAGGTAGCTACAGTTGCAAAACTGCACAAAAGCAATGGAATAATTAAAAGGTTAGGGACAAGTGGAAAAAACAGGCTGAAATTTTTGTATCTGTTCCCTGGGTTTTATTAGATCTCTTGTTAGTGCACAATTAAAAAAAGAAACAGATAAGCCCCTGAAATGAAACACATCTCATTCCTCCTGGCAGTGGGAAGAGGCCACAGGAAGAGATCTCTGCTGCCTGCCTTCTTGCAGCTTCTTAATTCCATTTTGTCCTTCTCTGCAGCTGAAACCACACTGAGCACTTCCACTTGAGGACCTGCAGCAGCCCGGCCTGCGTTTGCGTCCGAGGTGCCTCCCATGTGTCCAGGAACGAAGCGATTTCCACAGCGCGATGCGCCCAGCTCTGTAAACCTGCTTGTGCCATGCACGCAGCCGTGCCCTTGTCGCTGGCCCCTTCCCAAGCCTGTCTGGAGCTCCAGCCCCTGCCCAGAGAGGCGCGTGCCAGAGATGCCAGGGCAGCACCCACCCGAAGCGAAGGCTGAGCGCATGGGGAAAAGCCTCCCTGCTGGCTTCTTGTCCTGGCAGGGATTTGCTCCACCAGAAAGGGAGGCTGCAGGGGCACGTTCAGGGCTTGGAAGAGAAAGCAGTGCCAGTTGCTACCTGGCAAAGGTTTTATAGCACTGACTTGGCTTAGAGAAGGCTGCAGTTCTCGTGTGCTCCCCCTTCTCCCAAGAGATAGCGTGGTGGGAGGCAACTGGAGACCATGTCCTGCGCCCAGGGTAGCTCTGTGTATCCTGGGGAGCGCTAGCAACCATCCTGGCAGCTGGCCCAGGCGACAGCCGTGCCCTGGCCTGTGTCAGACTGGATCAGGACTTCCTGGCTACATCGTGGACTGTCTCTGGACTCCCTCCTGCCTGGACTGGGCATCTGGAGACGTCGGATCCAGACCTCACAGCTGGATGTCCCTCTCACAGCCAGCAGCCCAGGGCCACGCAGCCAGCAGGGGCTGCGGGCTGAGCTCTGCCCCAGGGGCCAGGTACTGAAATGCCTGATACAAACACACGGGCTGTGCTGGCGAACTGCAGCCCCTGGCCATGCAGGAGGGGCCCCGGAGCAAGCAGACTCTCTGCAGAGCTGTTATCATCGCGTGCCCGTGACCGACTCCCATCTCATGCCCATGAACGACTCCCAGCTTTCTCCCTGGCCTTGCTGGAGGGATGTGGGTATAGCTCATGGCTCTTGGCCAAAGGCAGAGGGTTGTGCTGGGCCCGGGGGATCAGGGAGGTGACTGGCACCATGATTCTGTCCTCAGCCCAGCTCTGCTGTCACAACTCACCCTGCCAGCCCAGCGCTGCCTTCATTTCTCAGCACTGCAATGGGAAGGAAACCTCACTGCCAGAGATCAAAGCTGGACTCATCCCTGTTTCCAAAGGGCTGCAAGTGTTAATTACTCTTGAGTCACGGTTGATCTGGGCTCGTCCCAGGGTCCCATGAGTTTGCCTGCTTCTCCTTGCTGTGCCTTTAATTTCAGAGCTAGCTGGGAACAGGAATAAAGCTCCTTTAATAACTGCATGGCCGAAATGCAGTGCTCCAGCATGTTTACAGACCCCTTTAAAATAAAAATGAGACCAAAGACGTCTCCTTGGGCAGCAGCAGGGCCCAGAGAGGGGCTGTGAGAACATGCGAGCCTGTGGGTCTCCTCTGATGAATCAGCAGTCCCAGTAAGTAGACCGAGTTCACCCCTCCTTCTCCAAACGCCGGTGGAGGTAGATTAACCTGGCTCCCTATGAGCAGCGTGCCTGCGTAATGGGTTAACTCCTGCAAGCCCGCGCTGCTGACACTGGGGCCAGCTGCTTCAGCACGGTGAGGCGTGTCTCAGGTATTGCCCTGGCTGAAAAATCCCAGTGCTGGGAGATAAGCTGCTAAGTTTTTTTCTGTTTTTGTTTTTCCTAACATGTTATCTGAGCATCTGATAAACCTCATGGAGCCAATCCCCTGTGGAGGCTGTCTGACATGCAAGGAGCGGCAGTGCAGCGAGCCGGTCCTACTGCCCGAGAAACATGAGACGTTTCCTCCGAGCCATGAATTAAACTCAAGTCTCCTGAACTTCCTCTCACTGCCCAGAGACAAGACCAGACGACGGACTGCCCGGGCTGGGACACGCTGTGCCAAGACCACCGAACTTCCCAACTTCTCCCAGGATGCCCCCTGGAGCAGCCATGGCTCCCGTCACAGTTTCTCCCAGGGGCTGTTTTCCAGCAGCCCTCACCCCTGCTGTCTCCTGTGACCACGTCCTGTGTCCTGTGCACAGGTTTGTGAGGATACAGGAATGTTAGCCAAGCACCCTACTTTGCAGGACCAGGAGACATTTGCTGTTGCTCTTGCTAAAAGCACCTCTTGGTGCCTGTCTGTAGCATTTTCTCCCCCAAGAGAGAAGGCTGTGTGTTTGCTCAGTGTACAGGGAAAGCACTTTATTAAGGGTGAAACGAGGGTGAAAGTAGTTGGTGCAGCATTTTCTGAACCGGCCTTTTGACATAGACACAAACCCAAACTCCACCACAGCACAGCATTTCTTCCCGTGGTTGAACGTACGGTCTCACTCTTCCAGGCCAAAAGAAGAGGAGAAAGGCTGTGCATATATCTCCTGCATGGCTTGGGTGCGCAGCTGGGACCATGCTCAGGCCGTGCCAGTCCGTGCTGTTCTGTGACTGCACCAGCCTGGCTGATACTGAGCCTTGGCCACGGCTGAAGCTCTCCCATTACATG